TATTTATGAAAGAGCCAAATTTCTACGTAGAAAACAAGGACTAACAGAAACTGCAGAAGATTTTGTGACAGATTTATATTCTCTTGCTCGTACCTGTGAATGGGGAACGCTTGAAGATGAAATGTTATTAATGGTCATTATTATTGGTATGCGTGATCAAGATTTGAGTGATAAACTACAATTAGAAAATAAAGTTACATTGGAATCTGCAATAACTTCACTTCGCAAATCAGAAGAATTGAAACGACAAAAAGAAGAATTGACCCTCCCATCAATCGAAGCTGTAAATAAAAACCAACGTGCTAGATATGATAATGCAATACATTCATCCAAAAGAGAAAATAGGGATCAAGGGAGATTAACGTATTCAAGCTCAAATGTCAAGAGCTATCCCAACTCTTGTATTTGGTGTGGTTCAACCCCTTCTCATCGAAGAGGTCTGTGTCCAGCAAAAGATCGCAAATGTTCTAGGTGCAAGCGAAATGGCCACTTTTCACACTGTTGTCTTCAAAACAATGTTCGAGAAATAGACTTGGATCGTTCAGATGACTTTACCCAAATCGCTTATGAACCAGACCCATCGAAAAAATTCATTGGGTGTGTGTATTCTAGTAAAACAAAAAATGATCCCTGGACAATAAATGTAAGACTTAATGAAGACACTGTCAAGTTCAAAATCGACACAGGAGCTGACGTGACAGTAATACCATCCAACATAAAGCTAAGCAAAAAAATTGCAGTCCAGCCTACCCAGAGAACTTTAAGTGCGGCTGGAGGATCGCCTCTTTCTGTTCTTGGCACAATCACTGCAAAACTCTCTTACAAAGGACAATCGTGTATGGAAAAAATGTATGTGGCTGACAAATGCACAACGCCACTACTTGGCAAACCAGCAATAGAAAAACTAAAAATAATACCGGTTATCCGTGAGGTATCGAAAACTAATTTCAACAAATCTGCTAATGATTGGATCAAAAACTTTCCTGACCTTTTCAGTGGTCTAGGAAAAATGAAGGGGAGCTACGAAATTGAACTTAAAAATGATGCAAAACCTTATGCGATATCAGTTCCTCGACGGATTCCAGTACCTCTTTGGGAAAAAACAAAGAAGGAGATTGAAAATATGGTGAATATGGACGTTATAACACCCGTTGATCACGCTACTTCTTGGTGCGCACCTATGGTCGTAGTGCCTAAGAAAGATAGAACTCAGGTTCGAATATGTGTGGACCTTACTATGCTTAATAAGAATGTGTTTCGACAAACTCATCCTATTTGGGGCATTGATTATACGATGGCTCGAATAAAAGATGCCAAAGTCTTTTCCAAACTGGATGCCAACCATGGGTTTTGGCAAATACCTCTTGCAGAAGAATCTCAAGATCTCACCACGTTTTTAACTCCTTGGGGCCGATACAAATTCAAAGTTCTTCCATTTGGTATCACAAGTGCTCCCGAGTATTTCCAGAAACGAATTCAAGAAACCTTAGGATCTCAACGAAACTGTTTAGCTCACATCGATGACATACTTGTATGGGGTTCCAGTCAAGAGGAACATGACTTGATCTTAAATGAAGTTTTAAAAAAACTCAGAAATGCTGGAATTACATTGAATAAAGACAAATGTGTATTTTCTCAGCCAGAAGTACAATTCTTAGGACATCACCTTTCATCCCGAGGGGTTCAAATCAGCCATGAAAGAGTCAAAGCCATTCTTGAGATGAAACCTCCATCTGATATAAAAGAAGTACAACGCTTCTTAGGAATGATTAATTTTTGTGGTAAATACATACCAAATCGATCAGAAATACTAAAACCAATCCATGATCTACTTAAAGAGAAAAATGAATGGTTTTGGGGAGAACAACAACAGCATGCGTTTGAAAGTATAAAAAAACTTCTGACCTCAGCACCCCAACTAGCATTTTACGACCCTCGCTTACCAACTCTTGTGTCAGCAGACGCTTCTTCTTATGGTCTCGGCGGATTGCTTCTTCAGAAACATCATGATGGTAAATTCAGACCTGTTTCTTACATTTCAAGGTCACTTACAGAAGCTGAAAAATCATATTCAAATATTGAACGTGAAGCCCTGGCAATCACATGGGCTTGTGACAAGCTCAGAGACTATATAATTGGTAGAGAGATTGTAATTGAAACGGATCACAAGCCACTTGTGAAAATCTTATCATCTAAGAATTTGGATGACATTACACCTCGCTTACAGCGAATGAGGCTTCGCATGATGAGATACTCATATTCAGTGACATATACGCCTGGAAAACACCTTGCACCAGCAGACTGTCTTTCAAGATGCCCCATTCCAAGCAAGGAAACATATGACATGGAAGAAGAAATTGAAGCTTTTGTTCAAAATGTGGTTGAAAACATACCTACGACTGATGAAAACATAAACAGGTTACGGGAAGCTCAGCAAGCAGATCCCATCTTCAGAAAGATTGCAGTATACTGTCATACTGGATGGCCAGAAAAATCACAACTTCCATCTCAACTAGTCCCCTACTTCTCGGTTAAAGATGAGATATCACTGATGGACAACTTACTTTTACGCAATTCTAGAATAATAGTACCATCAAGTCTTTGTCAAGAAATGCTTCATAAAATACACGTCGGTCATCTAGGAGCCACCAAATGTCGAAAAAAGGCTAGATTCAGTTTATGGTGGCCAGGAATGGCATCAGATATAAATATGATGGTAGCTTCATGCCCAACATGCATCAAACACAGAGAAAATCGAAATGAGCCGCTCATTCCTTCCGAGTTTCCAAAACGTCCATGGGAAAAGGCAGCAATGGATTTGTTCAAGCTTAATGGCAAATGGTTCATTGTTATAACAGATCAGTTCTCGAGATATTTTGAGATTGCAACTCTACAATCGCTCACTGCATCTGAAGTTATTGAGAAATGCAAGTCAACGTTTTCTCGCCACGGTATTCCTGAAGTTTTATACTCAGATAGTGGAACGCAGTTTGGCATCACTAGTGCAGAATTCAGAAAATTTGCCAAAGAGTACAACTTTTTATGCAAAACAAGCAGTCCTCAGTTTCATCAGAGCAATGGCTCAGCCGAAGCAGCTGTAAAAATTGCAAAAGCTGTTCTAAAGAAGAACAAAGGAGATCCATATTTAGCTTTGTTGTCTTACAGGAACTCTCCACTTGCCAACGGTTACAGTCCAGCACAGTTATTATACGGACGCAGACTACGGGACAATTTGCCTACCTTACCATGTCATCTGGAGAAAAAGCCAGACTTCAGTCATCTCCGAGAGAAGGAGAATCATTATAGACAAAATTACAAACGAAATTACGATCGACGACATGGTGTTCGACCCTTATCAGATATGAACCCAGGAACCAAAGTTTGGATATCTGATTTGAAACGTGAAGGAAAAGTCGTAGAAAAGTTAAACTCACCACGATCTTATAAAGTACTGACGGACAAAGGAACCATAGTTCGAAGAAACCGGTTTCACCTACAACCAATGCCAAACATTCAAAAGGAAAGTTACCACAACCATCAAGCATCAACAAATAGTCAGAAGGATCATCGCCACAACCATCAACCATCAACAAGTAGTCAGAAGGATCATCGCCACAACCATCAACCATCAACAAGTAGTCAGAAGGATCATCGATCCGAGGAAGACAACGGTATGTGCTTAACAAACTTTTCAACAGATAACCGTAACAGTCAACCATTAACAAGAGGTCCGATGGATCATCATGAAGACATGCCAAACTTTTCAACGGTTCCTCCAAACACCTCTGGAATGTCTTCTGCTAACATAACAACCCGATCAAGACGACTTATAAAACCTCCCCAGAAACTCAACCTTTAAAGAGGGAGATGTAATGGTTGGCTCTACTGACTATTGTCATTTTAGTTTATTATCATGTGTTAATTGTTATTGTTTACTTCTAGTTGATTGATACTAATAAAATACTTTTACCTAAATTATTCTATCATGATCAATTCTGATTTAATGGGTTTAATACAGTTCTCCAACATTTTAAAACCCATTATTGTTCTTATTCTTAACAAATGAATGAAAAACATCAGTCTGAGTGAAAATTTTACATAGGCATTGATTTGCAAAAAGTTGTAAATTGCAGTAGATTTTGAATTTAAACATATGGTAACTGAATAAGAGCAGCCGTGGAACTGACATACCAGCCATTCGCCAATCCTTCTCCCGAAAAAAGCTGCACTGATACTCTCTGTCTCAACTCTCAATGATATGATTTAGAAGGTTTTAGTACAATTGATGTGCGATATAAAATTAATTTGAATGCTCTGTAACCTATCTAGGTATAGTGTATCCAAATTTCAATTAATTTCTTATTGGGTATCTATGAGTTGGCTGTGTGATAATTTTGTGTTTGTTGTGTTAAATGTAGATTAGAAGGGTTTTAATAAATAAGCACTTAAATTATTTTTTTTGTGAACTGTGAAATCTGTAGGAGATTTAAATACTCTTTGTGATTTGCAACTAACTATTCATAGGCTAAGTTCGACTCAATTTTTACCAAATTATCTAGGCAAAATATTGTTTAATAAACTGCAGGTATTTAAAATGCTTTCAGGAAATTTATTATTCAAGACCAAGGTAGAAAAATCATTTCTTCAAAAAAGCCTATTAGCCTACAGCATAGATTATGTCTGATAAAATTTAGCACTTTTTATTTTTAGCAATTTTAAGTTTAGTTAGTTTAGCTTTATAAAATTATTATAATTGTTTTGTAAACAATTGACAATGCTAGCTGTTTTCCAGCTGCGCTGGTTTTATGAAATGTATCTAATGTGACACTGAAGATCACCCTTAAAAAGATCCAGCACTGGACTTGTGTTGCAGACGGTTTTAAATACTTGGTTTACACTTGGGAAAGAAAAGATTGTTTAGTAGGCCTACCTGTACTACAGATCTGTCATAAAGGATGCTTAGTCAGTGATATGTTGTTATGTATATGTCCCTGCCGTAGGTGTCACCCCCTGATGAGCATGGGTTCTGCAGCCTAGGCACCAGTGTGGACTGTGTGAGGGCCGCTTGCTCCAATTCCAAAATAATTATTGGTATGTTAATCATTGTTATTTATTACATTGTAGTTATTATTTTCAATTGCAGGAAAGCTAGTTTTGTTTGTTTTAAAAGTAATTTTAAAATATTTATGATTAATGAATATTGGGCCTTGTAGAATTTGTTTTGACACACAAATGGTTTGTATAAATAAAAGCCAGCTAAACAGTTGAGAGTTTTCATATTTGCTAAAGTTTACAAAAAATGCATAACTTGGCTTACAGCAATGTTGTCATGCCCATTAATTAGTTTTGTACAGTTTTTGAGCTCAATAAGAACACTTAAAACAAGAATCTAGGGAGCAAACCAAAATATCCTAGTAGCAAATATAATATTGAAACCTTTTAGCATTAATTCAGTATAATTATCCTATACAATTTTTGTATTTAACATCAATTTTGAGTATTCCACTGCCTCTGGACATATTTTTTTACATCACCTTCTAACAAGTGCTGGCATGAGTCAAAAGTTGGTAGTTTTGTTATCATTCAAGCGAGTTCTCACTGAGGACATTGTATTTGGCTGGCTGTAAATTGGTTTGTTACTAACCTGACCCTGCTTTTTGTGTTTTGTACCACCTGCATTTATTTGCCAACACAATTTGGATGGTTTTCCAACACTACTAATTGCCATATGTGTAAAAAAAGAATATAACCTGGTATAAGTTTAGTTAGTTCCGCCTGGTCGTTTTATGTGGCCTGGTTAAAAAAAATATTTAACAAATCTTAATTCCAGCTCATGTGAACACAAACATGCCGAGGACATTTGGAGACGCATTGATCCATTCGTCACACTTTGACTACGCTGTGAAACATGACGTGGATCTTCCAACGGGACATCACACAGGCAAGCCACCCAGTGAGGCGGAGGCCAAGATCGGCCAGCTGATTGGAGACAACCTCGTAGAGGACGGTGCCACCCTGCAGATGGGCATCGGCAGCATCCCTGATGCTGTGCTAGCAGCTCTAAAGAACCACAAGGATCTGGGCATCCACTCTGAGATGTTTGCTGGCGGGGTTATCGACTTGGTCAAGCAAGGAGCCATTACCAACAACAAGAAGACTCTCAACCAAGGCAAAATCATCTCAAGCTTCCTCATTGGACCTAAGGAGCTCTATGACTTTGTGGACAACAATCCCTTCATTGGTGAGTAATGATGGGAATGTTATCTTTGTAAAACTGTAATTATTTTAGCTCTCGCTTGTTGTTAAACAACAACTAGCACTGTTCCGCTAATAGTAAAAACTTTGTTTACTTAAGGTGGCCACAGATGTGTAATCATGTGTGAATTTGTTGTACCGTGAAAAAAACAGGAATTATGCAGGAAATTGGATTTCTTGTCAGGAAAATCTAATTACAGTCCCCGGTCCGAGCATAATCGAGAATATTTCGAAGGTCACAGCAGAATCTAAAACAGCCTCCATGATCACGGCAAAATTGAGAAAAAATCTGCGGTCACGGCGAAATTGTCAGCATCTTCCACAGTCACGGCGAGATCGAGAGGGGTCACACATAGTGTCTACCAGTCACCGAAGTCATTGAAAAGTAACTAGGGGTCTGCAGTGCACCGAAAAAGTCGGTACGGTACGGGTCTGGCCCAATTCTGCCATCGGTTCGGTACAGCATTTTATTCGGTACAAATTTGGTTCGGTAAAGCCAATAATGATTTCATTTTGTTTGAGTTAAGCCTCCGAATCACTGATCAAAACGTGTACTGGTGAAATTACCTGCTGTCTAGTGATCCTTTTGACCTTGAAAGGCGACCGGTTTCGATCCTCACGGGATCATCTTCAGGCGGACGTCGTCATCGTCTTTTCGTTCTTGCGAACGCGTCGTTTTTTAAAAAACATTGAGGTAACAGTTTTTAACATTTAAAACCCAAAAACACAACACGAAAAATGGCCAATAACTATTATGGTACCGATCGGTGGAGCGGCAAGTCTAGACTCAACTTCCGTGTCGCCCGCCGCTCCACCGATCGGTACCATAATAGTTATTGGCCATTTTTCGTGTTGTGTTTTTGTGTTTTAAATGTTAAAAACTGTTACCTCAATGTTTTTTAAATAAACTACGTGTTCGCAAGAACGAAAAGACGATGACGACGTCCGCCTGAAGATGATCCCGTGAGGATCGAAACCGGTCGCCTTTCAAGGTCAAAAGGATCACTTGACTGCAGGTAATTTCACCAGTACACAATAATGATTATTTATTACTTTCAATTCACTGTCGTTGGTTAGGAGTACATAAAAAGGTCTATTAGATGTTTATTTACAATTTTCATAATTTTTAGGGTATTGGCGGTCCCAAATTCATTAATATGTTATCACGACAATAATTATTGTTGTACTCATGTCAAGTACTTCCAAGAACTTTGGATAAGTAGTTTAGCTCATTAAAGTTTTATCACTTTTATTCCTTTATGACTTCCATGATTTATTACTAGCATAATTATTATCAGGTCCCAACCCTATTTTATCATGAAATTATAGTTTTATAATGACTGTTAAATAAATTTTAAGTGCTGTGCCATAATAGTTTATAGGCATTGTATGTATGAAAGCGCAACAAACTGTTCAATAGTTCTGCCTCCGGCCACTTGGATAGCTAGTAGTGTTTTGATTTTAAGGAACTGTTTTACAGTATTAAAATCGACTACTGTACTGTCACGTAAACAATAGATTTAATGTAAAAAAAGTCAGAATAGAAACACTAGAAAGCAAAACAATAGAAGGGTGGGAGGGGTTGGGCAATAACCTCGCAAGGAGCGGCCACAGCGAGTGGTGAATGGCGGTTGGAAGTGGTGGGTGCGACCTTGAAGCTATAGTTTAGACTTGCACCACTTCCCTAAAGGGCTAGTGAAGGGAGATTCTAATTGCAGGACGATGATACAAAGTTGTTTTACGGGAATCCCTTGCCCAGATTGACTTTTGATTGTCACTCTAATAGAAACTTTGTAGTATAATCATGAAAAATATAATTTGAATTAGGTAACCATAATTATTTAGCATTGATAATATATAAACTTCTAGGGACCAGGAGAAACAAATTAGAATTAATGCCATGATTTGCAATTTTACATCTAAATACAACATTGCACAATCCTATTTGAGGTAATTGACTTTTATTATGCATCTGGTTTCAGATGAGAAGCATGTCGATCATTATAAATTGATGGTCCCGTATAGTTGAAAAGAATTGTTTTGTTAACCTATAAAACATTAAAGATAACTCAAAGATAAGCACTCCCAAAAAGGGCATACAGATTGTTACATATTAAATAGGGATGGTCAAGTCTCGAAATTTCGGGAAATTTTCGGGAAATTTTCAATCTCGTTACACGAGACGAGATTACTTTTTGGCCGAGATTTTTATCGAGATGAGAATAAAAAAAAAAAAAAAAAAAAAAAAAAAAAATTTAAAACGCCTGCAGAAAGTCAATGCAATACCCGCAATACAGGAGCGTGTTGTAGTTGCGTTTCCTTTTCGAAGGCGTTCTTATTTAATTAATTCTTTTAATGTAAATATTACTTTAATTCTTTTAATGTAAATATTACTTTCATTATTTTAATAATATTACTTTAATAACATTTGAGAAGTTTTGTTAAGTGTAAGCAGTGTGAGGAATGTTTTATTACTATAAAAAAGTCAAAACAAGTAACTATTTTATAAAAATTAATATTGCTTTTATTTTATGATTTATTTTATTTTAGGATAAGTTGAACTCTATCCTAACTGATATCACCATGTTTCCTAATCGTAGGCATTTTTAATAAGTTAGGCGTGATTAATAAAAAAATGTTATGCTGATGTTATTTAATGAAAGATTGTAAATATTAGGGATGGACGGGATTGAATTTTTAGTTCGGGACGGGACGGGACGGGATTTTTATTTCCTTCCCAATTTTCGGGACGGGACGAGACGGGATTTTTTTCTGTGCATGAAAAAAAAGTACTGTATTGCAGTTACCAAAAAAGACATACGAAATCAATTTTTACCATTTGTGGCACTGGTCTATAAAAACAAAAAAATGGGTAACAATTTACAGGTACCTATAGTAACTTGTGACTCGCGGATCACGGGGTGATCGTCTGTATGACTCACAGTCACGGCGCGATCGTCGTTATGACTCGCGATCACGGCGCGATCGTCGGTATGACTCGCGGTCACGGCGCGATCGTCGGTATGACTCCGCGGTCACGGGGTTATCGTCGGTATGACTCGCGGTCACGGGGTTATCGTCGGTATGACTCGCGGTCACGGGGTTATCGTCGGTATGACTCCGCGGTCACGGGGTTATCGTCGGTATGACTCGCAATCACGGCATGACTCCGCAGTCACGGCGCGATCGTCGTCATGACTCGCGGTCACGGCGCGATCGTCGGTAGGACTCCGCGGTCATGCCACGATCGTCGGTATGACTCCGCGGTCACGGGGTTATCGTCGGTATGACTCGCGGTCACGGCGCGATCGTCGGTATGACTCGCGGTCACGGCGCGATCGTCGGTATGGCTCCGCGGTCACGGCGCGATCGTCGGTATGGCTCCGCGGTCACGGGGTTATCGTCTGTATGACTCACAGTCACGGCGCGATCGTCGTTATGACTCGCGATCACGGCGCGATCGTCGGTATGACTCGCGGTCACGGCGCGATCGTCGGTATGACTCCGCGGTCACGGGGTTATCGTCGGTATGACTCGCGGTCACGGGGTTATCGTCGGTATGACTCGCGGTCACGGGGTTATCGTCGGTATGACTCCGCGGTCACGGGGTTATCGTCGGTATGACTCGCAATCACGGCATGACTCCGCAGTCACGGCGCGATCGTCGTCATGACTCGCGGTCACGGCGCGATCGTCGTCATGACTCGCGGTCACGGCGCGATCGTCATCATGACTCGCGGTCACGGCGCGATCGTCGGTAGGACTCCGCGGTCATGCCACGATCGTCGGTATGACTCCGCGGTCACGGGGTTATCATCGGTATGACTCGCGGTCACGGCGCGATCGTCGGTATGACTCGCGGTCACGGCGCGATCGTCGGTATGACTCGCGGTCACGGCGCGATCGTCGGTATGGCTCCGCGGTCACGGCGCGATCGTCGGTATGGCTCCGCGGTCACGGGGTTATCGTCCGTATGACTCGTGGTCACGGCGCGATCGTCGGTATGACTCGCGGTCACGGCGCGATCGTCGGTAGGACTCCGCGGTCACGGCGCGATCGTTGGTATGACTTCGTCTCCTGCGTTCGCGGACCTATCGCTCGCAATAACGGCGTTATTGGCACTCGCGAAGCGGAAATATCGCCGACGATCGGACCAAATCCCGTCCCGAAAAATTCCCGAGTCAAATGTAATCCCGTCCCGATAATCGGGAATATTTTTTTCCCGAAAAATTCCCGAAATTTCGGGACCCGTCCATCCCTAGTAAATATTCTTGCCTATTATCATTATTTTAGTATTTAAACAGTCATCTAACAATGTTACAAAATCAGGTAAAAATTTTGAACGTGCATTTCCCGTTGTGTATGAGAAGAGAAATCTCGTCTCGAAATTTTATGAGAAATAAAAAATCTCGTCTCGTCTCGTCTCGAACTAAAAATCCAATCTCGTCCATCCCTAATAAAAGATGTGTAAAATAAAATAGGTGTATTCTGAATTGAATCCTAAATAACAATGATTGTAAACAAAAAAAAAGTTAACTTATTAAATATAACATATGGTATTTTGTTAAACATACAGTATGTTAGAAAAGACACATCAATTTTCCCCCTTTAAAGTCTTGATCGCAGCATTTGATCTACATGTCGTCTGCATGTTACTCCGTTCTCCAGTTCAACGTTGTAATGTAGATTTCCATCTCTTGATGTAACTTTTCCGAAACTCCATTTTGTCTGACCCTTGTAGTAGTTTCTCACTTGAACACGGTCTCCCACCTTAAATATGCGTGTTATACCTTTAGGTTTGTCTTTTGAGTCCTCGATTCTAGAAGGTATCATAACACTGAGGTATGTTCTTACTTGTCTGTTGAACATGAGATAGTATGCCGAGTTTCCTGTTGAGTTTGGTACTTGACGGAGTTGAATTAACGCCTTGTGAATTTTACTGTCAAGTGTTCCTGGTTCATCTAATATCGACTTCAACATCTTCTT